GGACAGAATTTTTGAAATAAAACATTTTTATTATTATCCACTGGTTCTGTAAGACCAGTTTTCGGCGATCTTTGCTGTTTTTATCACGTTTCAACCTATCTACACTCTGGTCTCTTTTTGGACAGAATTTTTGAAATAAGATTTTTTTATTATTATCCACTGGTTCTCTCGGATCAGTTTTTAGCGGTCTTTGCTGTTTTTATCACGTATCGACCTGACTACACGCAGGTCTCCTTTTGAACAGAATTTCTGATATAAGTAATTTAATTCTTAACCATTGCTTCGCTCGGAGCAGTTTTTAGCGGTCTTTGCTGTTTTTATCATTCGTCGATCTATCTCCACGCCAGTCTCGTTTTGAACGGAAATCTTTATATAGGTAATTGTTACTATGATCCATTGCTTATCTCAGAACAGTTTCCCCTCACACTTCGATGTTTTTATCACGTTTCGTTCCATCTACACACTGGTCTCCTTTTGACAGAACCCCTGCTATAAAAAGAATTTATTATTACACTAGTCAACACGATTTTTATTGCCAAGAAACAAAACCCGTTTTTTAGCTAATTTGATGGTGATGATTCTGAAAATGACCTTAGATTTTTATGGTTACCTACCATATTTGCTAAAATTACTAATTTTTTTCGGGGGGGGGGGAAGATCAATTTACGATCGTGGCTGATCGCAAAATTTAATTAATAGAGGTCGTAGAAACCAGTCAATTTTCAGGTAGGCCGAGCAATTTATGTCAGCCACATAAAATAAACTATTTTTATAAGAAAAAAATTGTTTTTGAGTTAAAACCTTTAAAACAAGTGTACCGAATTTTTTTCCAATTTATCGTCAAAATTCAAATTAAACTGATAAAGTTTATCAGTAATACACTTTAGTAAACTTGATAATTAAGGTGATATAAAAAAAAAGATGATACCCTAAAATCTTCTGTTTGATATTCATAAATTTATCACATTACTACAGAAGACAACCAAAGACACCGGGAGCATTTTGTTCTTACAGTTGGAATCTCCAACTAAATATGTCCCAATTGAATGTACCCATTCCATTGTACATGATACTGCTGGAATATCAAAAAGGACTTAAATAACATTTAACATGACAGACAATCAAGAAAGAGAACATTTTTACCATAGTTCATGAAGATTTTATTTCAGCTGTTAGTTTATTAAATGACTTGATGAAAATACTTGATGGTTTTGGTATATTCAATAGTGTTATTTTTAAAGACAGGATCTGATTGATATTGCAAAAATAGTATTTCTTAATAAGCAGACCAATATTTGTTAGTTTAAAGACGAATTGAGAGGTTTCTACGATTTTATTTTGAGAAATATTGCCATCGGTCAATATCATATATACAGAAAACAAATGAAAAAAAATGTTGTTTTTTTTTTTTTCTAAGTCTGTATAGGCCATTTCAGAATCGACGCCCTCAAATTAGCTTAAAAAAGTTGTTTGGTGTTTTGACGCCATATTAATTTTTCTTCTTTTTTTTGTTTTTTGTTGTTGTTGTTGACCAATGTTATCTATTTGCTTCTCCGAGACAAAATTTCCTCGGCCTTTGTTATCTCTTTTCGACATACCTACACGCCGGTCTACTTTGGAACAGAATTTCTGATATAAGTAATTTTTATAATTATCCACTAGTTCTTTCGGGTAAGTTTTCCTCGGTCTTTGCTGTTTTTATCACCTATCTATTTCGACCTATCTACACTCTGGTCTCTTTTTGGACAGAATTTTTTAAATAAGACATTTTTTATTATTATCCACTGGTTCTCACGGACCAGTTTTCGACTCATCATCACTTCGACTCGTTTTGGACAGAATCTCTGAAATAAGTAATTTCTTTTATTATCCACTGGTTCTCTCGGACCAGTTTTCCTCGGGAATTGCTGTTTTTATTACGCTTCCACCTATCTACACACCGGTCTCCTTTTGAACAGATTTTCTGACATATGTTATATTATAATTATTATTGATTGATTCTCTCGGGCCAGTTTCCGTCGGTCTTAGCTGTTTTTATCACGCTTCCACATCTCTACACTTCGTCTCCTTTTGGTCAGAATTTCCGAAATAAGACATTTTTCATTATTACCCACTGGTTATCACTGAGTAGATATCCTCGAGGACTACAGTTTTTATCACGTTTCGACCTATCTACATGCTGTTCTCCTTTTAGCCAAAATTTCTCATATAAGTAATTTTTACTATTATCTATTAATTCTCTCGGACCAGTTTTCCTCGGAGTTTTTTTTTTTAATCATACTTCTACCTATCTATATTCCGGTTTTCTTTTGGGCGGATTTTTTTTTTCATTGGTAATTGTTACTATTAGTCATCGCTTCACTCCGAACAGTTTTTTTTTTTTTTTTCGGTCTTTGCTGTTTTCATCACGTTTCGACCTATCTACACTCAGGACTCCATTGAGTAATTTTTATTATTATCGATTGCTACTCTCAGATATATTTCCTCGGTCTTTGCTTTT